GCTGGGCTGTGCCCCACGGCACGAGCTCTGCCCCACGGCAGGCTGGAAGGGCTTTTCCTTCCTGGAGGGCACCCAAGAGGAGAGAGCAAGGAACAGCACCCACACCCCAGGCGGTACCGCACCCATCTCGGTTGCCAGCAGATGAACCTGCCCCTCCCAAGCTCCTGTCAGCCTTCCAGCCTGGCCCGAAGGCACCGCGAGGCTGCAGGAGTCCCCCTGGGGACAGGATTTCTCTGTGCACAGACCATGCTCAGACTGGGCAGAGGCACCACATCCTTCCAGGAAAGCAGCTGGGCTCGGGATGCATGAGGGATCTGTGGGATCTGAGGGATCTGGCACCCACCAGCTCCATCCTGTCCAGCTCATCTCTTGAAATAAACCCGGTTGTATCTCCAAGCCTTTGCCCACACAAGTGCTGCTCCCCAGCCTGTGATCCCACAACTCCCCCCTGTGTTGGAGAAGGTCAAACATCCAGCCACTTGTTGCAATAAATATTTATTTGGGCACTGAGCACAGAAACTATTCTTGTAACCCAGAGGACAGAAATAACAGGTCTTCAGTCTCCCATCACAGAAAGCTCTGACCATTAAAGAAGGCACCAAGGACCAAACCTGACACCAGAAGGGAAGTGGCCAAACTCTGGCCTCAGCCACTCTGGGATTCCTCCTGTTCCAAATCTATGTGATGCAAATCCACCCAGGGAAGCCCAGAAACCTGCAGAGCCGATCCAACAGGGTTGGATCCAGATGATCTTTAAGACCCCTTGTACCCCATGAAACCACTCCAGTGACTCCTGGATGGGACAAGAAATAAGGCAATCCCACTCCTGGGGCTCTTTGAACTGATCAGCTGGGAAAACAGAATTCCCACAGCCCTGCTCTCCAAACAGTGACTCCGCCATCCCCACGGAGAGCAGCCCAGGGCTGGGGGCTGAGCCAAGGCAGGCAAGAGAATCACTGCAGTGTGCAGACCAGAATTATCCCAAGACAACCCCAGGCCCAGCCATGCACTATGACCTCCCCATGTGTTCCAGGAATTTTCCTCTCAGGGAGCTCTGGGCTGTGGCACAGACAGGGGCTGTGCTCATTTTGTCACAGTATTTTTAGACTCTGGCTCAGGGGACACTCTGTTGATAAAAATAAGTGTGAATGGCAAGGACCAGCCCTTGAAAGAGAAAGAGCAATGACTGAATGAAGAGGGAAGAGGATTTTTATTTCCCTTCACGTCACCAAGAATTCAGGTCTGGCCTCTGCTTTGCTGGAGGAAGGAAACTGCTCTTGAAAGACATTCTTCAGGAGCCTGGCCCAGCCTGCAGGAGGGGCCCAAGCCAGCACCAGGGAGGAAGAGTAACAGGGCAGTTTATCAGAGTCCCTTCTCCTCACCCACCTTCCCTCTACTCTCCAACACTGATTTCAGGTCAGGAATGTCCACATGAAAACAAGAGAGGTCCCAGCATTCCCAAAGCAGCAGCAAGGCCAGAGGATGTTACTTCTCCTCCTGCACCAGCCGTTTGTTCCTCCGCTCCATCCTCTTCTGCAGTTTCCTCTTCAGCCTCAGCTGCTTCTTCCTCTGCAGCGTCTGCTGGAGCTTCTCACGACATTCCTTGTTCTTCTTCCTGATCTTGGCCAGCTCTGCCTTCCTCTTTGCCTCCAGATCTGGGTCCTGCAATGGCAAAAGTCACACGAGTGTCATGCCCAGGGGCAGTGCCAGCCCCCCTGCCTGTCCCAGATGCTCATGCTGCGTTTCCAGCCCAGGCTGTGCTGCAGGACTCACATCCTTCTGATGCACTTTTTAAGATCAGTCCCCCTCTAAGATAAAACCTCCCCACTCTGCAGGGGAGTGAGGCAGAAATCCCCCAGCAGTGAGGGAGGAATGTTATCCCCCTTCCACACGGATGGCACAACACCAGCTACTGAGCAAAGGAGCTTCTGGCGCAGCAACTCTCACCTTCCCTTCCAGGATCATTTGTTTCCTCTTGTTGATTTCTTTCCTCTCATCGAAATCCATTCCCTCCAGTTCCTGTCAAGGCAAAACCACAACAGGGCCATCAGGTACCAAGCACTGAGTGTGACCTGGAGAAAAGCAGGGCAGCTCTCAAGGGTCAGCAGCTCTCAAGGGTCAGCAGAACCTCACCACAGGGCACACATCTGGTACAGCAGAGCTTCCCCCCCAAAATACCAGCCTCAAGAATAGAGCAAACCCAGGGGATGTAACTACAACCACCCTCCCCACACTCAGGTCTGTGTGATTCCACCAGAAAAAGGAACCCAACTTCTTCTTTAGGTGCTCAAGAGCAAAGCTGTGTACCCAGAGCCACAGGGACTGCTGTGGATTTCCTGGGTACCCCCAGCTGCCCAGCAGGGGCTTCTTCCTGCCACACTCACTATTTCACATTCCCTCCTGGTGACGTTCACTTGGGTGAGGATGTTCAGCACCAGCTGCTCCTCCACAGAGAACTCCTGCAGCTGCAGCTCTGCATCAGGGAGAGACATTGACAGGGTTGGTTACAAAACTCAAGGGCACATTCTCAACTAGTCAAAAAATCCAGTATGACTGGATTATCAGTGAATTGCTGTCATCTGCTGTGATCCCTCTCACTTCTGCAGCCTCCAACACAGGATCAGACCTGCCCACAATGCCCCACAGCACCAGATGCTGCAGTTTTTAGCTCCACTTCCTAAAAAAAAATAACTAAGTCTGAACCTATGCAAAGCAACCTGCTCTTTCTGTTCACCCCAGCATATCCAACAGCCAGGAAGGAAGAAGCTGCCTGCTTTAATAAAAAGGTTACAGACCAAGTCCAACACTGTTTGCAGGGAGACAAAAGGTCCATGCCTGGCACACTCCAGCAGAACTGAGATGGAGACCCAAGTGCTCCTGCTCTTTTCCAAGCCTCAGCCACACAGGGAAGAGAAACCACTTTTATGCTGATGTTATGGTTCATACATTCAGCACGGATGAGCCCAGGGCTGTAGGTACCACAAGGACACATGACCCCAGGTTCCAGCAGCATTCCTGGAGCTCTACTCACTGATCTCCTCCTCGATGGCGTGCACCAGGTGGATGTCGTACTGTGTCACCAGCGTGATGGCCATGCCCTTCCGACCTGGAGGGTGGAAACACAGTCATGAAGGACCCCTGAAAAGCAGAGGGAGGTGAAGCCAGGCCCAGGCCCAATTCCATCCAGCCCCAGCCTATCACATGGTGGTGACCAGGTGCTCCAGGGGGTCTTTATTTGTGCTGAAAGATCAGGTAGCAATGGGTGCGGATCAGACACAGGCCAGGGTGAGCATGCAACCCAAGGCAGGATGGCAGTGATCTGAGCAGATCTGCTGCTGAAGGAAAAGCCTCATCTTCCTCCACCCCCCTGGCAGCCCCCAGGGCCCAGCTCCAGCACAGGGATCCCAGTTTCAGCCAAGGTGGGTCTCCCAGCTCACCCGCCCGCGCCGTCCGGCCGACCCGGTGGATGTAGATTCTGGGCAGACCAGGAGTGTTGTGGTTGATGACAACTTGGACTGTGGGAATGTCCAAACCTCTGTAATGCAGGGAAAGAACAGAAGTTGAGAAATGCTGGTTTTAGAGCTGCAGTTTGAGCTCCTGCCCTCTGCCTTCTCCAGGAGCTCCATATTCTCACGATTCCCATCTTTATTGGCTCAGGGGATTCTAGGACAAACCCCCCCCTGCAGGCAGGGAACACATCGTGTCCCTCCCCCCATCCCAGGGGACAGCCTCAGCCTCACAGAGATCACCCTCCTGCTGGAACACACCCCCTGCTGCAGCAAAACCTGCCAGGGGCAGAGCTGCACCACACACAAGTGGGCTCTAAAACACAGCTCAGAGATGTTCTACGTAAGAACAAGCCTGTCCCACCTGAGTGGGGGGAATTTAAAGCTCTCCTCTTGTTTAACCCAGACCAATCCCCATCCTGGTTCTGGTGTTGAAAAATCAAGCCCAGGACCTTTGGCCAGAGACCACGTTTGTCCCTCACCTGGCAGCAACATCAGTGGCAATGAGGATCTTAAAGATGCTGGACTTGAACTTGGCTAAAGCTGCAAATCGTTGCTTCTGTGAAGAGAAATTCCTGCGTGAGGGACCTGGGGACCCAGAGGAGCTGCAGGACTGGGACATCCAGCTCCCACACCTGCCCAGCCCTCACCTGTTTCATCATGGAATGCAGGGCTACAGAAGGAAATTTGTATTTCCTAAGCATCATGTTCAAGACCTGGCAGTCTCTTGGAGGAAAAAAAAAAAGACAATAAAATCAGAATCAAAGAGGGAAATGTGAAGCTGGTGGAGCAGGACAGAGCTGGGGGTTCCTCCAGGAGCCCCCACCCTAATGACCACAGAAGTGCCCTGGCACAGGCAGGGAGCAGGACACCCACCCCTCACCCCTGGGACTGAGCAGAGGAAAAGCTGCTTGTACCACGTGTCAGAAGAGATGAAGGGAGCAGCTACCATCCCACCTCACACCCAGGGATCTGGAATCTCCACAGGAATGGGAAGTCACCAAGGGTGACCAGGAGGAACATCACCACTCACTTGCAGGTTTTAGTGAAGATGATAATGGACCAGTCCTGGTGCTGGTCCTGGAAGGTCTGGATCAGGTGGACAAGGTAGGCATCCTTCACTGCCTCGGGCACCAGCAGGTAACGTTGGTCCAACTCATCCACTGTCCTCACCCTGGGGGAGGGGAAAGCAAAGAAAACAACAAAAAACTGCTCTGAGGACAGGCTGGGAGAGTTGGGGTGTTCAGCCTGGAGGAGGCTCCAGGGAGACCTTAGAGCAGCTTCCAGTGCCTGAAGGGGCTCCAGGAAAGCTGAGGAGGGGCTTGGGACAAGGGCAGGGAGGGAGAGGACAAGGGGGAATGGATGAAAACTGGAAGAGGGAGATTTAGGTTGGATATCAGGAGGAAATTCTTTGCTGTGAGGGTGGTGAGAGCCTGGCCCAGGTTGCCCAGGGAAGCTGTGGCTGCCCCATCCCTGGCAGTGTTGAAGGGCAGGTTGGAGCAACCTGGGCTGGTGGGAGGTGTCCCTGCCCATGCAGGGGGTGGGACTGGATGATCTTTAACCTTCCAACCCAAACCATTCCATGGTTCTATTCTACAAAAGCCTTTGGGAAGCAAAGATGGAACAAGAGGGAGACAAAGGACAAGTGAGGAGACAAAGGGAGAGGAAACATCTGCATGTCCCACGCAGGGGGGAAGGGGCTCACTCGGACACGGCCTCCCAGAAGAAGGGTCTGTTCCCCGCCAGGCTCTGCAGCTCCTGCAGCGCGTGGCTCAGCGTGGCGCTGAACAGCAGCGTCTGCCGGCGGGCGGGGACGGCGCCCAGCACCACCTCCAGGTCCGCGCTGAAATCCGCGCTGCCCTGCTCGAACAGCCGGTCCGCCTCGTCCAGCACCTGCCCACGGGGACACCGGCTGAGCTGCCGAGCCCCCCGGGGGGCCGGGGATCCGGGGAGGGGATCCGGGGAGGGATGAGACAGGACGCGGGAAAAACCGTCTCACCAGGAACCGGAGCTTCTTGAGGCTGAAGGTGCTGGAGCTGCAGAGATGATCGGCCAACCTGCCCGGCGTGGCGATCACCACGTGCGGCTTCCGGGACAGCTCCAGGGCCTGGGCCACCATGTCTGCAACGGGGGAACCGGGCTGAGCGTGGGGCAGCCCC